AAATGTTGTATAAGAGAAAAATTTATCAAAAAAAGAGCATTATTTATGATAGTTTGAAAATGATAATGGTAATGATACTGATGATGATGATAATGATGAGAAGAAATAATGGTAGATAATGATGCTGATGATGATAAGAAGTAAATTGTAATGAAAATTTTTTAGATGCAAATTTAATATCAACCACTAAAATTTAGATTTTCGTAAACAAATTTAAATTATTTCACATATACAGACATACTAAATATATATACATTCACACAGACGTTCACATGGACACACCTGTTTATTGAATATTTCATCAGTTCACACTCTATTTAATGACTGAGTAATAAGTAGTTAGAATTCAAACTGCACTGAAATCATTCGTGAAAAAGTAAAAAGCATAATCCATTTCATTTTCATTGCCATTCAAATGTTTTTCGATATCTCATAAAATTATGATCAATAGAGAAACTACCTGAAATTGAAGAAAAAGCAAAAACTAAAATCTCCATTTCATATAAAATTTTATTTTTGATATAATAAAAAATGTTCATAAAATTGATTTTATTGTCTTAAATGTTAATAATTCCAAATTCCAATTATCTACATTAAATATTAATAATTCCAATTCCAATTATGTACATTAAATATTAATAATTTCAATTCCAATTATCTACATTAAATATTAATAATTTCAATCCCAATTATCTACATTAAATATTAATAATTCCCATTTTCAATTATATACATTATGTAAATGCTAATAATTTCAATTCCAATTTTCAACATTTTCGAGTAATCAATAGCAGTTTATCTTTTATAGTAAATTTAAGGTTTGAGAGAATAATTCTCTAATAAATTCATTCATAAAAAAATAAACATGAAATTAAATGTGCTTTTCATATAATTAAACTTGAATATTCATTTTGAATTGCATTTTTTACTGGTAGGTAGAAGCTAAAAAACTCACTCAATTTAATCCTCCAAATGCTAATCAAATAGATCGAAGTGCATTTGACAACGATAATTTAGCGACAGCTATAAATAGATTATAAAATTTCTTAACTAAAACTTAAAACTTAATAAAATGTCAATCATAACGTAACTCTTTAATATTTTTAATTTAATAATAAAATTTTAGATTTCAAAAGAGACAGCCACTTCTCCATAATAATTGCTTGTAACTTTGCTAAATTACTAAAAGATTTATAAAACAATGGAATTGTAAAATTGATGAAATAGTAATGGAGAGAAAAAAACGGATGAATAAATTATATTGGAAATTAAATATGTACCAATAAATTATAATATTTATTAATAGCTAACCTTTTCATCTCCTCATGATATTTGCAAAGTATTTTGACTTGATTTTTAAATTTGAATTTATTATTTTAAATTTAGGTTTAAAAAATTATTTGCAAAATCGATAATTAAAATTAATTGAAAAAGAAAAAATGAATGAATTGTTAAATTGATGAAAAAAAGGGCTGATTTAAAACGATAATAGAAAGATGATATGTTTAGCCTTTAGTCATTCCTTTTCATAATATATATATATATATATGTTGAAGCCTGAAAATGAAATATAAATTGAATTTCATTCTTTATTCATGCTATTTTTCAGAAATAGCATTTTCTCTTCAAGTATTAAAGGCACAATGCCTTTACTTGCATTGTCTTGACAGCTTGCTTGTTTATTTACAAAGCTTCGTAGATATACATATATACATAAATCTATAAAACTAAAATGGAATCTTTTGAAAAAATAATTCTTTGGCATAGTTAATTTTTGCAACAATAAAAGAAAATACTCTTTCGATCATTTGTCATTATTTAAAATTAATTTAAAATTATTTTTCATTTTTTTGAAAAATTGATTTTCAGCAAAGTTTGTTGTTGAATTGTTTCATTGTTAAGAAATATTTGATAATATTTCAAAGAAGAAAGCAACAAATTTAGCTTTCTATTTCAACAACTAAATTTATGGATCAATTCGATTCTATTCATTTCATTTCACTTTTGTTAATTTTACGTCAACTATTTAATGTGAAGAAGAAGAAGACGATAAAATGGGATCGGATGATGATTTTCCAAGCTAATCAAATAAACTTCCGAAATTTGTTCAAATGAATAGAATGTAATTTGAAAACATTTCAAATCATTTGAATGAGTGATAGAACTAATAGAATTCTGTTAATCATAAAAGGATCAAATTGAAAAAGTAAGAAAATTTTTGACAACTAAATTAATCAAAAAAGAAAACAATAATTACAACAATTTTAATATTTGATGAGTTTTTACTTTTTACATATATTTATATTCAAATAATCCAATGTCGAAAGTTATCGTTAATTTCTACAATTAATTTAAATAAAATTATTAAGAAACGATGAGATTGTACAAATAGATATTTTTTGTTTTTATTATAGAATGATATTGAAATTTTCATCAATAATTATTTATCATTAATGATATTTCATTTCGTTCGATCTTTCCAAATAAGAAAACGGTATTGTCTTCTGGAAAATGCTACGATTTACTGAAAGCTATCATTTAGAAAGATATGAAAAAATATGACAAAAAATTTGTCGTTTTTATGAAAAATCAAAAGAGTGCAGAAATGAGAAATTGATATTTGGCAATCATCGATTTTTCTGAAGTTGTTGTTTCAGACTAAAGCTATTATAAATTGTAGTAGAAAGGTTAATTTAAAAAAGTTTTTTCTATCATGAAGCTATTAGCAAATTGATTATTTGATTATAAAGACGATAAATAATAAATAGATAAATTAGATGTGACGAAATGAATATATTAGACCATTTTGATAAAACAAAGAAATATACCAAATTAACTTGCCCTATGGAACTACCGCAATATTAAACAACGGGAATTCCTGCACAATTGATAAATTTTATAGCAAAGAAAGGATACTCTGATGTAACATAAATGAAATACAAATTTTCCTGATTGAATTCTAGGTAAAAGTAATTAAATACTAAACACCTGTTACTACATCAACATGTAATTAATCCACTAAACAAGTAAGAAAATCCAAACAGCTATGAAGTAAACAAATAAAAGAAATATATAAAAGTGAAAAGTGATAAGTGATAAACAAAAAAATGTTCTAGTTTGAAGTAAGACGAAATTTTATTATTATTGGAATTAAATTAGATATTGTAATTTAAAAAATTTAAAAACAAAAACAGTTCTTAAATAAATTATTTATGAATTAAAACAATCCGAAAATGTTTCAAAATTTCAATAATCAAAGTTATTTGATAAAAGATAACACAACCATTATCATAACAATAATTGTAAGCCTTAAATGGTATATAGAATATTAGATTCAGTGTTAGCAAACAATTCTAGACTGATCTAATAAATAATGCATCACTCTCATTACTCTCATTCCAGCTATAAAATTATTCCAAACTAACTGATATAGTTGTATATTATGCAAATATAATAAATATTAATCTAAATATTAGTTAGTTTCTTGACATATATAAGTTTAACAATTATTAAAATCAATTCAATAATTTGTACCATAAATTGCTATCACCACTAATTTTAAAACAAAAAAAAATTTTCCTCTTATAGTTTTGCTATAATCGTATGCTCCAAAATTTAATATATTATTTGTCGTATTTATTGCAAATTCTGAAGAATTTGATGCTAAAAATTATATTCTTAAATGAATATTCCATTTAAATTAATCCTATTCTTTTAAATGCCTAGCATTTAAATTATCAAAAATAAGATAAACTGCTTATGACAGTTTTAGTCTAATTCTGCTGTTGAATAAGCTAAAAGAAAGTTCAAAATTACCACTTGACATTCCATCTCAGATTGGCATTCCATCTCAGATTGAGATTCCATCTCAGATTGGCATCCCATCTCAGATTCATTTTTATCTCAAAGACTAAGATGACTAAAAAATCACTATAGAAAATGATAATCATAAGATAGCAATCAATATATGGAGAAATGTATTATCTATATGTAAGATGATAATATAGAAGACGCAGAGCAAATATGGCATTAAAAATTATTAAAATCGAAATACCTTGAAATGAGTTCATTCGTATTTTCTCGATCCAACTCAAACAATAATCTTTGAACGATTGGTTGCAGATTACAAGAACTTCTCGTTTCTTTTCTCAATCATTATTTTACATTTACCACTACGAACCAATTTTTTGGAAATAAGTTAAAATGAAAGTTATTGATGAGAAAAAATTGCGAAATGAATAAATATCACTATGTTACAAATTGTGATATGATATGATATGATATGATATGATATTGATATGATTAAATCTCTTCCCATTGCAAACCAATATCTAAGAGTAGAAGTTAATAATTAGAGAAAAATGATAATCATAGCAAACACATCAACTTATTTCATCATTTTTTTCCCCTCCTTTATTTTGCAAAATCATTTTTAAAGATGAGAAATGTGTTGTGCAGATGTTGAAGAAATTTATGTATTATTTTATTTCACACTTTTCTCTCTAACAACAAATATTGAATAAACAATGATAACACTGATATTTTAAACTTTATCTGCTGTCAACTTGAAATTTGAGAGATATTGTCATATACTTTTCTTCCATATACAATCATCATCACATTCATCCTATAATTATCAAAAATTAATTTACTAATGAATTGTTCCTTAAATTCAGCGATTACACTTTCACAAAAAACAGTATTAAAAAAATGAAACCTTACAAGGGTTCCATGTAATTTGTCATACCATATTATCGTTAAGGGTCTAGTTATGATTGACAAATAAAGCCAAGTTCATCCTTATTCCCATCCATTGGACCATTCATCCTGGCTAGAGAAAGTACTACGCTAAACCATTTCATGCGTACCACTTGTAAAGTAATGCTAGAAGTTATAATGACTATAAACTTAGAAATGAGAGAGGACCGCGTTAAAAATGATGAGGTGGTGATAGTTTATTAATAAAATAAATTTGTTAATATTGGTAATTCTTTATTCTTATGGAGTTGAGTTCAAGGGAAGAGACCAGAGAAACTAAACTGAGATTTTATATCATACGTATTAGATTGTTTCAACCAATCTTGCCATGGCGACCATCCGGTCGCACTCATTTTACTCACAATGCGATTGTTCGGAGTGCTTTTCAAACAATGATGTTTGTTCAAGAAGTATGGTAATACTTTTTAAGTTCGTAATTTAAGCGTATTTCAGGTTCTATGTTTTACTTATTGCGAAGTTTATAATACTTCTGCGCTGCGAAAGTCAGTGGTTTTCAACTGTGATGTCTATTAGAGAAGTATGTCCGTTATTTCCACTTTTGTATGTAATCTAAACTCATAACTTGATTACTTTTGTTTTTTCAGTTTACGTAAATATAGAGAAAAACTGAACTATAACCTGAAATACAGTTAATAAAATAATGTAACGCTGTCTCTTTTCGTATTTCGAACCTGCCCTATAACAAATAGCTCTTAAAAAAACTCCGATACGTAATCGCTTAAAACCGAATTCACATTGATATATGAAGTGAACAAATCACTACTTGATTTTAAATTGCAGTTTGACATACGTGAAGATGAAGAACAACTGATAAAGTTGCAAGATATCATCGATTTACTCGTTGCTGCAGGATATTTTCGAGCTCGTATCAAATCTATCCCTCCTTTCGATAGGGTTTGCTTTTTTTGTAATGGCTTCCAAATTTCTTAAAACCGTCTTAGGGTCAAATATTTTATATTTAAAAATGATAGAAACTTAATAGCCAGTTGATCTTGTGATGACTCAACAGTCACTTTAATAAAATAATAGTTTCTATAAATTCACGGAATAAACTAATTGTTAAAGGAGTCATTTGTAAAATTTTTTATCATTGTACTGAATTAAAGTGTTTTCATTGCACTTCAAAAATACTTATAGAATTTTTCAATCTAAATTTTCCGTACGCAGTGAAAGTAGTTGGTTCGAGAAAAGATTGAAATTGCAGGTGATCGGTGGAATAGTATGGTGCATAACGTCATGCAACCATACAGTTGATATCGATCTGTTTTACTCTGAGAGTGCTACCATTGGTCAAAAGATGTTAGTATTTTGAGATTATTTGCTACCTGAAAGATCTGTTGAAGCTGTGATTAAAAAATCCTACTGATATATTCTCAAGTACCCTTTTATAGTGATGGGATGAAGATCGTAAATTTTTAAAAGTTCTGGAACAAGTTCTGTTAAAAAAACGTACATTTAAATAGGATCTCAATGCTCTCTTTTTAATTTAAGCTTCTTTCAGAGCGTTAACTGAAAAAGTAGTGGAAGTGTTACCTCAATTGAAATGTCCCTATACCATTGAACCATTTCAAATCCAAGGACTTGACTATATCCACATCTTCCCTGTTGTTCAGGTAGACCCTTTCATTTTTTCATTTGTAAATCAGGCCATAAAATGGTAACGCCATTTATGGTAATGATGATGCCATAGTGACTGCAAAAATCAAAACTCGACAGAATCAAAATAAATCATCAAAATTAAAAATCAAAATTTATCAGCAGTTATTTAAGAAAGAACTGAAAATCATTATTCCGGCAATAATTTAAGATTATCTCACTTTCTGACGGAATAACTAACATAAGTATTCAGTGGCTTGTTAAAGAAGCTGTCTGTGCAAAAGAACAGTATGGCGATAGTGTACGAAATCATGCTGTATATCAATTCGCTCAACGGTTTTGTTTTTCAAAGGTTGTTGTCTTTTTTTAATTTCTGAATTGTTTTTCAAGTACTTTCTTGAAACGATTTTTAAGCAGTTTAATTGTTGAAGTTTTCATACATAGCTTTCAGGATAAGCGCAGAGAAAAAGAAAAAAGTATTTTTTTAAACAACTGCCTCAGTGTGAAGGCGAAGTGTCCACCCCAACGCATTTATAAACAGAAGGGCAATGTCAAACCACCAGATTTACGAACCAATATTCGTTGTACTTTATTGGAATACGGATGGTTCGTTAAGTCATTTCGAAATTGGTAAATTAATATAATGATGGAACATAAAATAGTTTTTTTAATACTGGCAGTAATACGTGCTTCAGTGCTTTTAAAGATTAATTAATGCAGGAGAGATGATTGTAATGTAGCAGTTCAAGAAAGCACTAAATGGTTTGGAAATGACAAAGAAGATGAAAATGTGGTAAAGCTGTAAACATTTATATTTTCAGTTTTTTAACATATTAGATCATTTATTGAAACTGTCATTTTTTTTTAAATATCAGAAAATCGAATTCTTTTATGGAATTAAATTCTTCATCGCTGGTGTCTTAGCATAACTGGATTTGTGAAAATTCAATTGTGATAATATAGTGAAATGATTATTCGTACTCATCTAATAGAAGAAAAGATAATGTTATGAGGTTGCAGGATGCCGACGAGCTCCTGATGGAGTTATCGGAGACAGAAATTCAGCCAGCAAAGCAACGTCTTCCGTCGAAAACACTTGCCCAAATCATTGATATATCGGATTTTGATGCTGATGAGTTGAAAAATGAGGTACTTTATAATGCTTGATATATTTGCATTTCAAATTCTTTAACTGCTTATTTACACCTCTCTCACAAAATATATTTCTAGAGAGGTTTTGTCAAGCCTTATCAACAAAGCATATCAGCAGCAGAAAAAGAATTAATTGAAGTTAGTTTTCTTCTAATTTTACCTATTTCCAGTAGCGAGACCAGTTTAATGGAATAAAATTTATAGTAAATAATTATTGTGGTTCTTTTTAGTTTTTTATAGCTCAGAGAAGAAGAAAAAGATTTGGATGATTCTTTAGCAAGTCTTCAACTGAGGAAGAAGGCCCAACTACAGGAAATGGATGAAATCGATAGAAGAATTGCGGACTTTGAGCAGCTGGTTAGCAGCAGTGGTGTAGAGTATGTTACAAATGTTTTTGAATTTGTTGTGGTTATCAGCCATATTGTTTTTTCAGGTTTTTATCTTTACATCGCATTTCTGAATTATTCACGATCGTTTCTAGTTCTTATTTATATTCCTTTTCAGAACTGTTGAAAGGTTGAAACATCTACTAATTGAGCATGACGAGATTCATAGGCGAGAAATGGATTTCAAAACAAACTGTCGAAATGAACTACAGGAACTGGACGAGGTTCTTGAGCAACTGAGAACAGTCGGCCCTTTGAAGGAAGAAGTAAAGTTTTCGAAAATTTCGGCAACTTTTGTTTGAAGATTTATGGTGCTTCATCTTAAATTAACAACTTACTTATTTCCGACTGTTGTATTATTTCCAACGTACATTTTTGAGTTGAAGAATAATGGCGATTCGGTGAAAAATATAAGTTTGGAAGCGGAGCAGCATCTAACAAGTATTCGATTGGAGTTATCAGATTTAAATCGACAGATTGCTGCACAACAACGTATGCTCGACAATATCCCTGCGCAAATTGAAATCAGCCAATATCAACGGAGAATTATCGAGCTTTATAATCAAAGTTTGTGGTTTGAACGAACATATATATATAATATTAAAAGTTATTTTGAAGAAATGGAATTAGATTTAGCATATGTTTCTGTGCTGAGCAAGTTTTTACGGTCTTTTCATGATGGCAGACCTTTTCAAATTTTTTGCGAAGCATTTTGCAAATTACAGTGGCAAGCAAGCATCGAGAAACGAAGCAATTTTATATTTTACATAACACTTTGGTTGATATCAAAACGTTCATGAAAAAAGAAGTTGATATGTTCAACAGTATCGATGACGTTCAAGACTTGTAATTTTTCTTTTATTTGATTTATTTATATATCTTGTACTCATGGACCAAAAAAGCATTATTGTAGTAATTCTAGTAAATCAATTTCTACATTGCAGGACTTCTAAACAAAGTTACAAAGACTCATTTGTTGAGAATTTGCAGAAAATATTGAAAGGTGTTGATGCTTCTCTTGAGAAGGTTTGTTGTTACTATTTGAGTTGATTTCACATCTGAATTTTTACCTGTATACATTTTTATATACCTGTATACATTTTTTTTTATATACCTGCATACATTTTTTTAATTAATTTCGTTTCTTACCTTGGTCTTCATAGGTATCAACAAAGCAAAAAGAACTGCAAGCAAGAAGGGATAAATTATATAGCGAGTATCAGTATTTATTGGAGAAAGAACGTTTATATTACAAAACAGTTGATGATTTCAAAAGTGTTAGTTCCGTTTTGTAATTCTATGACTCTTTATTGCAGGCTATTATATTCTCTCTACTTAAGGTTGAGATAAAGAAAAATATCAAAAAATTGAAGCGCTATCGGAAGTGATTTTTGCAGAACTGTCACCTCCAACATTTTGCTTACCAAATATGAAGTTTGAAAATATTAGATGAATAATATTTGAAACTTCTTGTATCTTTATTTTTGTTTTTCCAAAGTTTTTCGTACCAAGAACTTTGTTCTTCTATTACTAGTACCTTTGAGTTTTTATAATGAATAAATATTGTTCATTTGTTCATCTCATTTCCTATTTTTTGCAGGCTTGCCATCAAAATGAGGAGCTAAGGCGCACAGTCGAAGGTGAACACCTAATATAAATAACTGTTTTAAGGTGGAAGAATTTTTTTAATTAACGAATTTAAAACTTAAGTTCGTTTATATGGAATCTGTAAAATTGGAGACGGTAATAAATTAGTTTCATTATAATACATAAGTGGTTGTGCAGTTTTATATGTCGTTCTTTACACTGTTAATAAATTGTTCTCACTTTAATTTATGTTTTATATCGTTTGAAGCATCGTCAGTCAGCTTGACATTCTGTTTGATCAATTTATCTTTTTTTGCTTCTCTCCGTTATTGATTTTGACTTTTAAAAATGGAAGTAGAAAATAATTCATTTCTTTCATCAATCGTTATACAGTTTTGAATGTCTAGAAGATAGTTTTTGCCGAAAGGTTGTTGGAATTGCCAGGATATCTTACATATCTAATTTGGCAATTGCAGGTATTTCCAAATTGTAGAGCTGAAAAGGTAACTCCAAATTGTTCATCGGTGGATGGAGATTGTTAGGAGTCCATCCATGACATAAAGGTAGTGTCAAATGTGTAAAACTTCAATTAGCTGTAGTTGACTATTACCCATACCATTTGTATTCCTTATCGTGCGAGCAATCTAACTCAATAAAACGAGTGTCATTGCCTCACAGATTCCGTAGCTTTACAAATTTTACCGCTATCTAGAACATTTTTGGAAAGATGTCCACTGCACAGATTAAATCGACAGCCGTCGAGGCAGTTATGGAATTCAGTAATAACTTCAAGGATTTCGGTTCAGATATGCCCTGTGTAATGGGCATTGATGAAGCTGGGCGTGGACCAGTTCTTGGACCGATGGTATACGCATGCGCTGTTACATTGCTAAATAATGAAAATATGCTTGTCAAGATGGGTATGTTTATTTTGTGTATTTTTTTCACGGTGTTACATTGTACGAAGCCTTTCTTAGCACGATTTTTCAATTTAGCAGCACTTCGGCATAACAATGCATTTATGAAGGCATCGACTAGCTTAATCTACACTTCATGTATACATCTTAAATAATAAATTTTCTGTTAAAGAAAAGACTTTGCAATCAATTTTTTTTGTTTGATTTAGGAACTATTTTTAAAGTCATTTTTATTATAGGGGTTGATGACTCAAAGGTTCTCACAGAAACAAAGCGTGAAGAGATTTTCGAGAGGTTGAAGGGAGATAATATATCAGAGGTTGCACTTAGCGCTTCATTTCATCTCTTTCTTGATATTACTTCCCTATTTTCATATGCAAAGTGCTTCTTATGTGTAGGAATAGGGCGAGATTTCGTGAAGTAATAATTCAGAGGGAGATTTAATTTGTAAAAGTATTCCGCGTAAAAAAAAATTGAAGCGAAGTACTTCTTTAAGGTTGTTAGCAATCTTCTATAAATCAGTAGGAACTTTTTCCTGATATATCCAAATTAAAGAAAAATATTGTTTTCATTTAAATAAGTGTTACTACTTCAGGCGTTTGGATATGCATGTCGGTCAGTATCGGCACAAATGATTAGCGCTAGCATGTTAGCTCGAACGAAATGTTCACTGAATAAATTATCACACGACTGTGCAACGGAGTTGTTGAAATTAGCAGTCGACAATAATATAAATGTTGTAGAAGTTAGAACATTTCATTTAGTTGAAATGAATAGTAAGTTGTAACTCTTCATAAAAAAGCTGTCATGACGTATAACTGAAACATAAGAATAGAATTCCAGAATATTTCTCTAAATATAATATTCGAGTAAATAAAGATGTTGCAGATTTTTCAGACTACTACTTTTAGGTTTACGTTGACACAGTGGGACCGAAAGGTTCATACCAGGCTATGTTGAACAAAAAGTTTCCAGATATGCGAATTACTGTATCGGAAAAAGCAGATGCTAAATTTCCAATTGTCAGTGCTGCTTCAATCGTAGCAAAAGTAATCTTTCTGTTTGATTTCAATAATTTAGATTTTAGTTTGGTTCAAGCTTATTTTACTTATTGATATTATGACTTAGAAATATTCCAGACTTTTATTATTTGTATTTTAAAATTTATTAAATAAATATTCATTCTGTTTTTTGAGTACCTATTTTTTATTGATTTACTCTACTCCTGTCGCAATATTTGTTCAAGTTTGTCACATCATTTTGATTTATAATAGTAATTCATAGACTTTGACTGATTTTTCTGACTACTGATTCTTTTTCTTTAGAAAGCTTATTTTTGATTATTCTAATTTATTTCAGGTCAAACGTGACAGAGCTTTAAAAAATTGGGTATTTCCGGAGAGAGCTGTGAGTGTACCACCGAATGGATATGGAAGTGGTTATCCTGGAGGTGTAATTTTTGTGTCACATGCTCTGAATAATTATTCTATTCGCAGTCGTGGACAATTTTTATTTAGATCCGAATACAAAGAATTTTTTACTGAAAGCAATTGATCAAGTGTTTGGATATCCCAATTTGGTGCGATTCAGCTGGAAGACAACCGAAGTTTTGTTACACGAGAAAGCAGTGAAATGTAAATGGTGAATAACCATTTCATCACATTTTGGCCTTCTTTTTAAATCTTGAAAATATTTCTTACAATTCAATCGATGATGAATGTACAAATTGACGAGAAATTTTAAAAACATAGTGAAAGTTTTGTCACTGTTACTCAATATGATTACAATCGAACAACTTTTTATCCTCTAGAAATTATCAAAGAAGTGTTTTAGCAAGAAATGAATTTTCGAAAATTACAAATTTATTTTTGGTTTCAGGAGAGATCCAGAAAATGCATCCGGTAGCACCATAACATCGTTCTTTAAACCATGTTCTAATGAAAAAAATTATTCTTCAGTGAAAAATCAGTTTTTCATCGATCGTTGTCTTTCAAATATTTCAAAGTGCTCAGATTTTTAGCTGTAACTTTACTTTGTGATAAGTTAGTGAGTGTGCTCTCCTATTTTATTCGAGCTTACACAATTTCGAGTCTTTTTTAACAAAATTAAGCAAGAAAATTTTTAACAAAAAAATTTAATTTTCATTCCAAGGATTTTTATTATGCGAATATTGCTTTACATTCAGAAATTCTTTCTCTTCGGTTGAAAAATTCTAGCTAGGTTTCTTTTTGTAGGTTCATTTGTATATTCATCCTTTTGTTTTACGCTTGCTTACCATTTGTTCGAATTGTACCACTAGTGTTATAAGTTCATTTTCATGCTTTTAAATGCTGTTTATTCATTTTTACGCTTTTACATTAAAGATGGTCTTTATACGTGTAGTAATTGCTGTTCTACCATTCTAATTACACTAGTGGTGTTGTTTCAACACTTAATGATTGTTGGATTTTGAGACAGTATTTAAAAATAATCTTGTTATGTCAAAAATTTGTTTACGACAAAAAGTGATTACATCCGTCAGGATTTGAAATATCTGTATTATTTTCCGTGTTAGTTGCCATAATTTCGACGCTTAAATTTTTCCTCATGATATATTTTGTGTTTGTAATATATATATTTCCTCTGACACATTTTTATGTTTGTATATTATTCATGATAAAAAAATTCGTACTATTTAAGCTCTTCGACTGATGGTTTTAACAAATATTACCTGTTATCATGTTACTAAGAGTATTCTTTATTAGTTTTTTTATCAAATTCGTGCTTTTTCTCACGAACCGAATGTTATCAATTAGCCAATACAAAGATGAAGACTTTGATTTGAAAACAAGAAGCTATATTAGTGACTAGTGGTCGAGACCGCCGATAGCTTCAACTTTTTATATCTAGCATATCTTATTGGTTGTATGCAGCCTCGAAATGTCATAAATGTTGGCATTGATGAATTTAAATGGAGAATTATTTGGGAAAAGGGATTTTGCTGAGATGGTGCTGCTAGAAGTTGATGGTAGTAGAACTAAGCCATAGAAGTGTTCCATTCCACTGCATAAATGTTGGCATTGATACCACTGCCTGATTTTCGACATAGTATGTGCAGATCTATAAGTGGTGTCCTGACAGTTAGGCAATTGTAGCTTATTTCTTTTTTTACTGTTGCTTCATTTTCAAAACTGCAATTTAATTGAAATTGATTGAGTGATTGGGTATCTTTGTGACGTTATTTCAAGTGCCTGCCAATTTTTCATTCGCTTGCACTGTAGTCTTTAGAAATTTCCTTTGTTTGTATTGTAATTCTTAGAAATTTAATTCTTTTGCCCTCCTCTTCGAACAGAATATTGTGAATCAAGTTCAAAATTTTCCATTTTTGATCACTAATATCCCCGCAGTATTGTAGTTGAATGTGAAAAAGTGGAATCAATGGAAATATAAAATATTTTTACTCCATCAGAAATTCTTCATGAATAACTTAACGATATGTTCTATGGAAAAATAACATCACTATTCACAAATTTTAGGCTTGCTTAGTTATCCAAAAAGAAGCTTGAAGTATGTTCAAGCTATCTTTAACGAATGTGGCCACAACAGTCTTTGTGATGTATATTGCCCATTCGATGCATTCAATCTATACGTTATATCATCCACAGTTATGTCGGCAAAATCAAGATGACAAAGAATGCTTAATTGTTAGTTTTATTCTCTTTCTTTTCTCTCTTTGTACATGAAAAGATTTTCTTAACAGAAACTTCCAACATTTGAATTTTTCTTTCCAGTGAAAATTCGATACGGCAGGTAAAGTGGTCAAATCTCATTTATCCAGTAGGTGGTTAGAATTTTCTTTCTGTACCCATCAATTTTGACGATGCTTTATATTTAGAGCATTTGAGATTTCTACATCTCATTAAATTACTGCCATTATCGTTTTGTTCCTTCTTTAGCTGCTCGAAGCCATAAATTCTATTTGCGAACGGGTTGAACAGGAAGAAAAAGCTTGATTTTCAGATGGATTAGAAAGAAAGCGCAAACGGCAAAATGAAATAATTTTACACATACTTAATTTATTTCAGCCAATGATTCAAAGGGATGCAGTGAGTGCGGAATGGCCACCACTGCAATTTCGTATTTATGCATCCGTAAATTCTCGTGCTAAAGAGAATTATGGAAAAATCGTTCATCAAATAGCATTTTTGGATATCGATGAAGTCATGGAGAGAGAAGTAAGTTATCTTCCTAAAAATCTTAATTATTGCACGTTGGAAAAAACTTTCTGATTATATAATAGGAAACAGCAGTTATTATCCATTGGTTAACACAATAGATAATAACTGCTGTTTCCTATTATATAATCAGCTTCTCTTCAATAATTCTCCTTTTTCTCTCTTCTCTTCAATAATTCTGCTGCTTTTTTTTTTAACACGGCAGCTTATTAAGATGTTTTCCTTATTCTTATGCAGTGTATTCATTTTCCCATTTCAGTTGTTAATTCATCAAAAATTTTCATGTCAGGTACATGTAGACCTCCCAGAACATACGCGTAACAATGGCTCGTTATATTTGCATTGCTTTTTGCTACCTGCGGAACATAAACATCAGGATCCTTACCAGGTATATAGTATTTGTTACAGTGTGTTTATATTCTTAAATTATGGTAATTAGTTTGACATTTTCACTGTAAGTTTTGCATATGTGGGCCTTTTTTCAATGCACCGATTAATAAATTGGTGATTTGGAATTAAAGGTGGACAAATTTATCTCTTTCTTAATGTAATATACAATAGAGCGGCTTGATTTCAGCTAAATTTGATTTCCCAAATAGAGAGTTCGCATTTTAAATAACAGCGTTCACACTTGAGATGCGATTTTTTTGCAGGCGTCTTGGCAAATAATACAAACAGTTCGTATAACAACATACCAAATTCCTCAGGCAGAAACATTTCGATTGATTACAGAAGCTGAAGAGAAGCGGAAGAAGAATAAAGAAGCCAGTAGATCTGTAGATCAGGTTTCATTTGATTTTTCGTCATTGGATAGCATTCTATCAGCGGTCTTCCGTAAAGGTAAAACCAGTTTGCGAAAATGTTTAAAAGATTTTCTCTTGAGCGTAAAAACTATATAAGGATTTTAAACGGTTTGGTTTTATTTGTTATTGCTGACAAAAATCAAGGAGTGAAAGTTTTACTGCTTTTAGTTGCGTGAAAAAGGAACACCGGTCACACATTTCCGCAGCAGACTACCATTGACAGTTGTTGGTGAATCACCTAAATTTGATTTATATGCTCTTCCTGGTGAAATCTATCAGCACATGCAGTTTTTCCACAAAGGTATTTATTAGTTTAAATTTTAAGTTATTAAAGAGCTCTTCATCGACTAGCAGTATCTGCTGATTTGCACTTCATTTTTCATTCCATCGCGAAGTTGTTTTTCATTCTGAACAATCTGAAATTTTTTTGCAATGGTAGTTTATTACTTAATTGGACACTTAAGGGAGCTGTCACTGTCAAACATATTTTTTTTATATAAATAATTAATATTAACAAAGTGCTCATTGTATTGTTTTTAATAATCGAACCAAGCTGGGTGATGTTTCATGTACACAGATCTTTATGTTTAAATTTTTTCAAATCACTTATATTCCAGAAGGCCAAACATATTATTGGCCAATATTTTATATCGATGAATTGAGTTTTCTTACCAAAGATCTAGTACAGGTGAATTCCTCCATACTTTACTTTAGCCAACTTTCTTTTAGGAATAAATTCTTTATTCAGACTAACGAGGAAGATGTCTCTTCCCGCTTTTTCTTTGAAAATAAAGGGTTATTACAAATTAGTATAATAATTTGTTTGTCAAACAGATAGAACCGGAACAGAAAAGCGTTATGATGAAGATTCAGTACCGACCGATATCTATTGGTAAATTGCGCTTATTGATTACTGCTCAAGCGTCTCTTGCTCAGTTGAAGCGAATGGGCTTTAGCGATAAGGATGTTGATGAGGCTAGCTATCATTATATTTGTTTACTATAAAGTTTTCACTGAACTTTTCAGGGCCTCGTAATTTTATCGTCGTTTTTTCATGAATTTTAACCTTTACTTGCTTTCACATATTTTGGATTCTCTATAGGTGAAAGGAATATTTGTGGACACGAATTTTTACTTTTTGGCGATTACAATGTTTGTTGCTGCTTTACATATGTTGTTCGATGTTCTCGCATTCAAAAATGACATAGCGTTTTGGCGAAATCGAAAAAGCATGGCTGGTCTGTCAACAAGGTTAAGAGTACTGCTTTTTAAATCATATAATTGGATGTTTGTACATATCAAGATAAATTAGTTTCAACTAGAAAGAACTTTCATAATACATATCCAAAGAAATAGCTTTAATGGAATCAGATATCTTTCCTCTGCAATTATTTTATTGGTTTTCAGAACTGTATTATGGCGTTCATTCAGTCAATCAGTGATATTTATATATCTTCTTGACGAAGAGACGAGTCTTTTGGTAACAATTCCCACAGCAATTGGCTGCATTATTGAATACTGGAAAGTAGCCAAATCTGCCAAAGTAATTATTTTCTTTATTTGTCTTTTGTCAAGAAAAATTTTCATTTCTGCACGATTATTTTTATTGTAGTGTTTAACATTTTAGAAATTAAAAATGGAATTCGTTGATGGACATTTATTTCTGAAGAGTGGATGATTCCAAAACTGAGTTAAATTGTACATTAAATTAATGAATCAAAACTTAATTAACACACTGTAATATCTAGAAGTTAACACGCTGTAATAACTTGCTTCAATTTTTGAATGAAATCATTATTCATTAACTTTTACAAGTTTTTTTCCACTTACGGACGAAACCATAGTGTTTGAAATCATTCCTATTGCTTCGAGTTAAAACGCTTTGTAATTGTAGAAACAAATACAATTTAAAATTAAAATTTGGCTGAATTTTTATTATATAGATTTCAATTATTTGGTCAAAAGGCATACCACATTTTCGATTTGGCACTTCCACCGCAGCAGAAATAGAAACAGAATCATTTGATTCAGAAGCAATGAAATATCTCACTTTCTTACTTATACCGCTTTGTATAGGTGGCGCTATTTATAGGTATCGCTTATTATCTGTGCTATATTTGTATATGGTGAACTTTCAAGTTCACTTGGTTAATTTGAGAAAAGAAACCCTGTCTAAACAACAATTTAATTCAGAATTAGAATAGCAAAAGGTCATTCAGATAATTCCAGCTTGGCATACATTCCACATAAATCATGGTATAGTTGGATAATTCAATGCATGGCTAACGGTGTATATGCATTCGGATTTCTATTTATGCTACCGCAGTTATTTGTTAATTATCGTATGAAATCAGTTGCTCATCTCCCATGGAGAACCTTTATGTATAAGGTATAAATTGTTTTTGCATTTTTTACATGATAATGGTAAGAGTCCTAAGTTTATACTGCCTTTCAGAAACAAACAAGCGGACATCCGTATCTATCAGAGAATGTTGTTGTTGAAGAAATTTTTAGAAAAAAATAAATTTTTAATAGGAAGTTTAGAGCCATGAACAGAATTGCATGGAATGAAAAAGAAAGTGGGTTTATAAATACAGCGAATCCGCATAATTTTTGTGTAACAATGCATTTGCTTCATCTTTTCATTGTTACACAAAAAATATCAAACTTTGAACAGGTTCGGTTGAGCCATATATATTTGAACCGGAATGAACCATACGTTTTTTCTGATTCCTATCCTACTGCCAGTCTTTACTTTTAATTTCGAAATATCTCATGTTTTGCATTAAAATTAGTTTTTAGCTAAAAATTTAATGCTGTTTCCACAGTTATGTTTTTATGAATGTATCGATCTGTTACTGCTAATCAGTTAAATAGTCGTCATAGCTTATGAGAGAGGTGTGTGACTTCAAGATTTCTTTCAAGTTCAAATTAGAAGCTAATCTAACTATTATTTTGCGCCTCCTTATATCTTAAAAATGTTGTGATTTTGAAGTATCGAGCATAATTTTAAATTAAGTAGTTAATTGCAGGCATTTAATACATTCATAGACGATGTGTTTGCATTTATTATCACAATGCCGGCATCCCATCGCGTCGCTTGTTTCCGGGATGATGTAGTTTTTGTTATTTACCTCTATCAGCGTTACCTTTACCCGGTTGACAAATCACGCACCAACGAATTTGGTGAGAGTTTCCAGGATGCTGAGATTCCGAATGTTCAAAGAGCCCAATCTCCTTCAGTATTATTACCATCTCCACAATCTGAATTGAAAGCAAGAAAGAAAACTGACTGAAGAGTATATAGAGTTTCTAAAATTCAAAAGATTTTTGTTCTTTTACCAAATACTTCGAGTTATTTTATGTTTTCATTTAAATTTTGTTCTTTATAATATTTTTAAATAATTTTTTACCATCTATCCAATTGTGGTGTTCTAGTGCAGTCATTACTTTTCCACAGGCTTCAAACTGCGATGTGCAGCATTCTTCAAATTCTCGTTTCTATTCTGTCTACTTATGGAATTTACGAACCGTATGATAAATTCTTTATGAAAAATTTTTTAAGCTTATCTCAAGATTTATTTTGAATTAAGAGATTAATATTGGACAAATTTTGTGCACGACATATTTGTTTTCTGTTGTACTTCCGATGGAAATTTTAGAATTTAGTTGAATAATTTATTTTGTCTTTTTTCAAATTTTAAGCAAGCCAATCACAATCTTCGAGAAGCAAATTTTTACTAATGCAATGTGATGACAGGTTTCTGATAATATTTTACGCAGAAATTAGTCTGGGTTAGCCTTTTCTCATACTTTGTTTTTTTTTTTTTTTTCTAGACTATCTCTTATAATTTAACCTTTTCCAATCTTTTCCAAGAAGTGTATTTGTTCAGCAAATTATATTAGCAGCAAATTATTTTAGATCTAGTTTCTAAACTCTGAGATGAATGACGCAGATAATTGAATGACGCAGACAATGATCTCATAGGAACATAGTGATAGAAGACCACTATGTTCCTATGAGATCATTGTGATATAAGACATTGTTATAAATTGATTAGGATTAAAATGAATCATTAAAGCTTGAAAAGATTTTTTTTAGTGATTTCGGTGTTATTTTAAAAAACGACATGATTTTTAATATGCTCGATTGTCTTACAGCCAAATGTCAATTTCCAGTTCATGCTAAAATGAAGAAATATTGTTTATCGATAGCATAAAATAATCGAATACTAAATTCCATGTTTCATAAAATATGGAATTGAAGTCGACTAATGAACCAATATCAATGTCATCCTGAAATAATTTCAACGTTATTTCAACGTTTTTCAACGTCTTCCCTTAGTTACACTTTGTGAATTTCACATCTTCACGATTCGCTTACTTACTTATTTCATCTTTCGAATTTCTTTGCTATAATTAATAATTATTCTATCATCTATTTTACCTGATATTAAATTATTTTCTGTAATAAATTATTGTTTTTGTTATTTGATTTTCTTAATGATTTGTTAGCAAATTTTTCTCCATTTCGTTTTCATATTATTTTGAACATTCATACCTAAGAATATCAAATAAATTGCTTCAACAAGAATTTAATTCAAAGCATTTGAACATTAAATTTAAATTGGTTCTAATTTTGCAAGCAAGCAGTTCTCAAAAGTCCTTCAATAATTGTTAAAAGTAAGAGAGAACCGATATGATTCGCACTATGAGTTTGCCATAAATATAAAATATAAAATAAAATAACATTGAATTCTTATCTTTTGTTGCAAAACAACTGTCTGATCATTTAGGATGAAATTATTCAATTTTCCTTCAATTTATTTATTTATAAGATTTGAATTCTATAAGAAATTTCAACTCGATAGAGTAATAATCATTTCTGATAAACATATCCATTATGATATAATGAGTTAACTATATTATTATTATTAAAATTTATATTTTTCTAAAAAGAAGTAAAAGTAATAAGAAAGATTTTATGCCCGATTTTATCTTAAACCTTAATCGACTATCAATAAAACAGAAAAGTTTTCCATTCACAACTATGCTATTTTTAAATTTCACAGATAATTTTTGCTATCCATTAAAATTTGATAAAATAAATATAAACTTTTATCAGTTAATTGATGACCCTTAGTGAACGATGTGTAAAATGATTGATTGTTTTATATCTTTTTACTTTTAAAAGAGACAAAAAGCAATCTTTCTCGTACAGTTGTGATATATGATCAGTGTGACCTTTTATAGATCTTTATTGACATTTTATTTTCTTAATATTAGCTTTCTTCTAATATCAACTTCCTGAATTTCCTTCATTTTGTCGAATTCTTAATGAAAATTTTTTGTTCAGAATTCTCCTCCTTACACATTCATAATACGATGACCTTATGGTGACCTTTCATGAATATTGAAATTATCTTCTCTTTCTATTATTTCTTCCTGAATTTTCTTTATCCAACTTTACAATATCTTTTGCTGAAAATTTTTTATGCAATCTTTTGCAGAATTTCTTTGTATATAATTAATTTGCAGAATGATTAATTAGTTTATGTTTAAATTGGATAAATTACTCTAATGTTGATTATATCCGAAAACTGAAGGCATAATTCCGTCACATTCAAAAACTGTTAATGAACAAATTTTCAGTGATAAGAAGAATCCCTTCAATTATCATTTCTTTCTTTCATTTTTAAAATCGTTTAAAAGTTTGAAATGAAAATTTAATATGAAATTAAGCATTAAAAAAATCGAATTCTTTTTAAATGTTTCAAATTAATAAATGTAAAAAGAATGATAATTCTATTAGGAAAAGTTTCATTTCTATTGCAATTAGTTAGCTCATTTGTACCACCCTTAGAAGTGAAATGAAATTTGTAAAATGCCTTAAAGAAGTGAACTAGAAGGTAAACAGATTAAGTAAATACTTGTCTGCAAAGGATGGAGAAAATTTATCTTTCATGGCAAAATAAACATTGCTATTATTTTTAATGCTTTAACAAACAATTGCCTATTGCTGTTATAAAGCTTCATGAAGTTAGTTAAAGTCTTCTTAAAGCTAATCCTTCTGATTAAAACTATTCTGGTTCTTCTATTTATTTTCTTTCTTCCTTTCTCTCTCTCTCTCTCTTTCTCATCTCTTCAAGAAAGAAATTATTGTTTTGCTTTTTTCTAAAATTAAATTTTATAATCATAAAATTAACTCTACGATCATTTATTATACTTACAAAAAATTTAAATTCAAATTAATCTCACTCATAATTTCTCGTAAATCATAATTATTTCAATTTTGATATGAGCCATTGTTGCTACATTTGAAAAAAATTTGAAATTTGTCGTAATCGTTGAATGAAATGTACAAAATCTAAAATAACTTATCATAATTAAATATAATTGTTATCAATGTTAACAATTCAGTGAAAATATCTGAAATTAATCAGTAATATCTCAATAATTGTTTCCTTGTGGGATTTTCTTGAATGATTCAAAGCAAATGAATAATCAATTAGTGATAACAAAAATAAGGAATGTTTATCAGTGATTTTTGATATTAGCCATTAAGTTTCAATTGAACTAAATTATTATCATTTAGTTAAACTAATTTCGATTTTTGTTTTCATCATATTTTATCTTCTTAATGAAATCATTTTCAAATTGTTTTGGAATGAATATTTCAATTTTTTTATCACTGATAAAATTATATCAGTATTAAAATCAAATAGATATACACAGATAATTTCTTCATTTTTTCATCTTTTTATGAAGTTATTTCTCCAAATGACCAACCAATATATAAATCCTAATCAATTAATTAGTATTAATTGATTAGCAATACTTGCAATTTCTTCTTTTTGGCGACAATAATTTTTCTACAAATATTTAAGCAATGTATGAGCAGCGGTATAAATTAATTTACAAAAAAAAATCCATTTTAAATTCATAATATCTTATGATAATTCTCTAATTATAAACAATTAATATCACTTCTTTATCTTTTGCCTAACTTTATTGCCAGCAAGCGAAAATAATTCAAAGTAAAATAAGTTTGATCGAAATTTATCAATAAGAGTGCGAGAACAAATATACAAAAAGTATTTTTCTATCGAAGATATCTTCTTATCCGATATTGTTGGAATATATCGAAAACAATAAGATCATCAAATTTTGTTTCATTAAGAGATTGTCATAATCCAATTTGAAATTTTACTTTCAATAATTTCAACATATTTTTTTTAAACAAAGAAATCGCCATATAATTGATGAATTATGATGGAAGGATATTGATGAAATTAGGAGAAGCATGAAGAATGATTGGAGTTGGAGTGATATTGAAGATTTTGTTAGGAGTTGAAATTTGATTTCAATGGGAAACTAAAAAGTCTTTCCATCGATTATAGTTTATAAAATTTAAGAAAAAAGACTAAACTGAAAATATAAAGAAAATTCTTTTGGTTACATATGTTACTACTAATTTAAATTTAATAAATTTTTACTCATTCCTTATTATCTTAGATATATTTTATTATTATTATTAATTATTCATTATTTATTATTATTATTAAAAGACAGAGCATCCGTTTGCTCAAAAAATTATCATATTGAGAAAGATTTTTGTATTTAATGCTAAGAAATCTCCCACTCAAATTTCCATCCATTTAACAATCCAAATTAATTGTTTGGACAGGTAAATTCTTGCTTAGTACTCGAAATACTCTTGCAATTTTTCATTACCAATATTGTTCTCTTTTTTATGAACCCAATGCTTTTCCCAAGATCTTATGAGTGTAACATTCTCAAATTATCGAGTGATAGCGGTGAAATCATGGAAAGAAGCATCAAAAGACATACGATAACAAAAATTTCATTCATATCGGCTTATGCTATTATCTAAATCGGCCAAGAGTTAAGCATTTCAGGTAGTACTTTGTGGACGTATCATGCACCGATACGTCTCACATTTACATTCCTTAATAACTTAACTACATAGAGTATAGGATGAGTTGCGCTTCGATTCATTTATGGTTCTTTATTTCATAAGTATTAACGTACCATTCTCGCAAAGTTATCCAAATTTTCAACAAAATTTTATTTTTTATTTCAAATATAAAATATTGACAAAAACTTACATTTTAAAGTCTTTTCGAAATTGATTGTAATTTCAAGTTTAGAACTTATAATTCCTTTGTATAGAAATATGACCCATATGACCTTGCAAGGTTATTTTTATATTTTCTTTTAGTCGATTCATTCCTCATTTGTAATTTAACTTAATCTTACATATGATATTGTGTAA